AAAAACTTTGAAACCGAAACTAGCTGAAATCATTAAGACATTACAACACATTTCATCTTTGGGAAACATTTCCGCAGTTGTCAGTCTTATCATCAGCCTTGAACATACAGTGAGAGCCATACCTGTAAGAACCATTGGGCTGTTTCAAAGCTGCATTGAGGAAAAAGGATGCAGTAAGGCATCTTCGAAATTGAAGCGTTTCATCTCCGCATGAAGTAACACGCAAACCCATCTGTTCAACATGTCCTCTGATTTGACTGCAGGAAGACACTCAACTCTATAAGGAACTTTAGATGGGTACGAACTAGAATGAACAGATGGAATTATTGATTGACATCATCATTCATCAGGACTGTTGTGATAGTAAGGAGTCGACATTTATCCAAAAGGTTAGTGTCATCATACTATATATGGGTACCACACATACATAAGGTAATGCAGACAAGAATCAAGTGAGGGTATACAGTATATTGCAAGTACCCTGTGGTTGGGCAGCAAGAAATTGTGGAAAATGTAAACACATCCCAGGAAAATCTTATATTCTAGTTCCTTGGTAATGATGAAAAATGAGAAAACAAATGAATTTGAGATAATCAATGGAAAGTAGTTTCTTGAAGGTAAGTTTGAATTTTTAATATAATATGAAATTCTCCAAATAAACACAAAAATGGTACGGAGCAAGGGTAGACCATAACATGGTAAATCAATTTCAAGGCTGTTATTGCTTAATAGGCTATTTTAACAATTAGTTTTGATACAGAGAAGTGTTGAGCCTTCTTGCTGCTATCATACGAAATTCTCCAAACCAACACAGAAATAGTTCAAGGAGCACAGGAAAAACCATAGCAGGGACTTCAGCGATTTTTTGCTTAATAGGCTCTTTTAACAATTAGAAATTATACAGAGAAGATGTTGAGTCCTTGCTGCTATCAATTTCACAACATGTCAAGAAGACAAATCAAGTTTATTTTTTACCGAAGACTATATAGCTAACCTGTGAATATCTCTAGCATGCTTTAGGGAACGGCTATTTATAAAATTGTCCCTGCACCACTTGCCCAGGCTTCTTTCAGCCGTTTTATCCTTACTGCCTGACATTTTTCTCTTCTCCAAGAACTCAGAAGAAGTCCGGAAAACATTCATCAAGGTCAGATGATCTCCCTCCTGGCTTGCAAAACTCTTCGTTGCATCTCTTGCCTGACCATAGAAAAAGAACGTGTGTGTT